TGATCAGAGATTCTGACCAGCGAAGGAAGGAGGGGATGGCTGTTTTGGCGACACACGCCTCTCGGTAGCGCACTTTGTGCTAGCACCTGGAGTAGACGGCATCGGATCCCCCGAAGATCATGATTCATTCCTCAGGGTCAGGGAAGCCGTCCCCATCCTTACCCGCCGCGCCTCCTTTCTTAGCTGCCACCTCCTTGCCCTTTCCTTCTTTCGGCCCACCGGCCTATCGCAGGAAACGTTTGCGGAGCTCGTAGTCCTTGTAGAGGTGCTTGACGAGGTAAGCGTGGTTGGTGCAGGGGCTATCCATGAGCTAGTCGAAGTGGTTCGACAGGCCTTGCAGGGGCTGCTTGCCTGCGCGATCAGCTGCGGCGACCAATGCGGAGTTGGCCTGTTGGCGTCGATCCTTATTGTTCTTCTTGCCCCTCTACATGGAGGGGCCCTCTTCTTGGTCCTCGCGCTTGGCCTTGCCTTTGTCCCGGCCTCTGTTGAAGACCGCTCTGACCGCCTCCTCACCGGAGGCGTGGTTCGTAGCGACGTCGAGCAGGTCGCGGGTGGTACAGGGCTTTAGGCAGCCAAGCTTGTGGATCAGGGACTCGCAGGTTGTCCCGGAGATAAATGCGTTGATGACGTCCGCGTTGACGACATCAGGAAGAGAGTTGCACCGCTTTGAGAACCTACAGATGTAGTCCCGTAGGGACTCGTTGGGCTCCTACTGGCAGCTCTTGAGGTCCCAAGAGTTCTCAGGGCAGACATACGACCCCTGGAAGTTCCCGACACAGACCCTCTTGAGGTCCGCCCAGTCGCGGATGCTGTCATGCGGGAGGAATTCGAGCCATGCTCGGACATGTTCCCCCCCCCCCACGTAGATGGGGAGGTAGTGAATGATGAAGTGATTATCATCAACTCCCCGGCTCGGTAGGCAAGCCGAAAGTCTTCAAGCCATATACCGGGATTCGTCTCCTCGGTATATTTGGCAATGTTGGTCGGCGGTCGGAAGCGCTGTGGGAACGGCACTCTCCGGATGCGCCAGCCAAAGGCCCATGGTCCCGGGCCATCTGGGCTAGGACTCCGGTTGTCTGGCCAGTGACAATGCCTGGGGTGCGTTTCACCGCTCCCCTCGATGGTCCGACCGAGGTCCGTGTCGCCTGCCCTTACTGTTGCCCGATGGACGTCATCATCATGCCGGACCCAAAGCCGGTTGCTGATGACGCTGCGAGCGTCCTAGTTTGGCCGGAGGCATTTGTTTACAGACGACTGGTGCAGCTATGGTCAGGCCGTGGAGCAGCTGTGGCTTCCTGTTCCGCACCTGGTGGCTGCAGCGGCGAGCGGATGGAGCGATTCGTCTGGTGCGTCCCCACTCCCCTGGTGGGGAGAGAGGCTGTGAGTCGGTGGCGCGACGCGGAGCTCTCCGCCTGTTGAACGGCGGCAGTCTCCACTAGTGCCCGGAGGTTTCGGTGGACCGCCTGTTCCTGTGGGTCGACGGGCTCGGGAAGGCCACGCAGAAGCATCGCCGCCGCGGAGATGTTCTGGCCAGCCCGAGCGAACTGTGGGGGATCGTTCCCCACGTCGATGATGTCACGCTAGACCTAGCGGGTGCGACCCCGGGCGCCGCTTGTCGGGTCCCGCGCACAGGGCGTAGCGTGCTGCACCGAGCGCGTCGGCACAGGTGGCGGCTGGTTCTGCCGCCTTCGTCGTAGCTCCTCGCCGTGCTCCTAGGCACATGCGAGGGCATCCGCGCGAGGGTCCAAAGGGGTGTGGGTCTATAGAGATTCCACCACCACCGGTGGCTGTCCCGGAGCGTCCGCCATAGCGCACTCTCGGGACAGAGGGTGGCTGGGTGCCACGACGTCGCCAATGCTAGAGCCGTCGCTCTCATCATCGTCATCCATGAGGTCATGAAAAGAGGCAGGAGCGTAGCTCGCCATCCCCACGAATTCAGAAGTGAGAGGAGGCGGCGCTAGCACCCTTCGGAGCCCCTGGGCGTACGCGTCCGTGGGGGATGTGAGGTCATAGGGGAACCGGTCGTATGGCAGTCATAGTAGGGACAACGGGGTCCCTCCGGAGAATCGGTGAAAGACAGTAAATAGCAAGAAAATAACAAAGCGTACGTTACTCACAGTTGGGTTTGAGCCCTGCGCGGGCTCAGAGCGAAGCGTAGGCGCCTCGTCGTTGAAGCCGCCGTGAGTCCCGGAGCCGACGGAGTACGCACCTCCTCCGACGGGCATTGGAACAAGTGCCTCTTCACGGAGGTGCAGCACGCCTAACCTGTCGGCGACGAAGTCTAGGCTTCCGAAGAGGAAGGCCTGGGACGGCTCGAAGATGGGTGGGACCCACATCCCAACAGGTGGGAGTGCGGGAAATTCCAGTGAGCCGAAGCGAGTCGTATCGCTTGAGCCCGCCATGGCGAATATGGCGAAAAAGTGGGCCATCCGATGACCAAAAGCGTGAACGTACGGCGTCTTCCCCATGGACGGCGCCAACTGTCGGTGCAGAAAGTGACCAACACGTAAATATTTATAGTTTTGTCGTATGTTGTGATCGGATGTGGCCTAGCACTCAATGACACAGGGTTTATACTGGTTCAGGCAACGTGCCCTATGTCCAGTTTGAGTCGGTCGGTGACTTTATTCCTAAGCCCAGGTGCTCGAAGTTTGTTGTGGGGTTACAAACGGAAGGGAGTAAGATGGGGATGCAAGAGGTCCGGTCGGACTCAGGACCGAAGTGCCAAGAGTGACGGGAGCTCCTGCGTGCGCTAAGTATTCGAGTGTGTGCTCTGTGTACCTTTAGTGTCTAACGCTAACAGAAAGTGAATCGATCGTTGGTTGTTCAAATGGTTTGAGAGTCCTCTTTTGTTGGGGTTACCGTGTATCGATGGATTGATCCCCCCGTTAGGAGAGAGCGCATCCCCTTTTATAGATGAAGGGGACGGCCTTACAAACGAGAGAGAGAGTATGTATGCTACTAAGTCTTGTTGCCCACGCCATCGGATACAAGATGATGGTAGGCGCCCACAATATTGTTTGTGTCAGACGCATGTGGTAGGTTTTATCGCATTCACCATGTATGGCAGATGACGACTCCCACAACACCGTACTGTCGATTCCCAGAGGCATGTGGGGGGTTTTACCGTGTTCGCCTGGTATGGGAATTGATGGCGCCCACAACACTATAGGGCAAACGTCGGCGCCCACAACACTGCTTGGGTTCTGACATGCCTGGAAGGTTGCAGGGCACCCTTCTGATATGTCCTGTCGGTACTGTCCTGCAGGTGTACAGGGTACGGTCCTTAGTATTACGTTTTGACTTGAGCGCCCTGCCTTACTTCCTCCGTCCGTTTCCTGGGTCCTCACCGAGCGGGCGTCCCCGGTCGATTGGTCCCAGTCGGCTCCGACTACGCCAGTTGGAGAAGAGTTGTAAGCGGAGGTTTGGTGCATCCCCGGTCAGAGACGCGGGTCGGAGTCTAAAGCGACGTTGGCTATGCCTTCCGGTCAGAGAGGTGGGTCGGAGTTGGAAGCGAGTGCTGTTCCTACTCGGCCAGGCCTTCTGGTTGGAGAGGCGGGCCAGAGTCGGAAGCGAGACCTTCCGGTCGGAGAGGCGGGCTGGAGTCGGAAGCGAGCGTCGTTTCTCCTTGGCCAGGCCTTCCAGTCGAAGATTGGATTGCCCTTTTGGCCTGTCGTTAGGTACTCGGGACGACCCAGGAGTTGTGCGCCGTTCGTAACGTCGTCTGCTGGGCCGAGCTTTTGCTGGGAAGCAGGTCCATGAGGGACCCCGGGTTTATGAACCCGATACATATGGATTTAATGAAGTCATACTGATTTTGGATTGGATTAGACATTAATCATTTTATGTTAGGGTAGGTTTGGACTTGGATTTTTTTTTCCTTGATGTTAACTGGATTTATCCATATGAATTTGGATTCTAAACCATTGCCACCTCTCGTACCGGTTATCAGTTGATGTTAGATAGGATTCTTGCTTGTTACTGCTACTCCCTCCATTCCAAATTAGAAGGTGGTTTGGTTTTTCTGGATACATAGTTTTACTATATACTTATATATACATTATATTCATATACATAACTAAATCAATATATCTATAAAAAGTAAAATGTCTTATAATTTAGAATAGATGGAGCACTTAGATATAGACTATATCAAACGTATATAGAAAAATCAAAACATCTTTATGATTTAGGATGGAAGGAGTCCTTGCTAGCGTATGTGTCTAGCACGTACCTAAACGTCGCATCAAGCTGAGATTTCCAATCGCCTTGGCCAGAATTGTGGAAAGTGAAAGAGTAACGCGATAGGTAACACAACGTGGAATTCGCCGATGGTTGAGCGAGCAGGAACTTAAGGAGAAGGCTGTGAATTCCAGCTTACTGTAAGGTAATATAGCTCATATGGATGGATTATATTTATGCTAAAACCAAAAGAAAAAGGAAAGAATCGATGGCGGCAGGGGGCTTTGAGTGGCTGCTACGAATAGTCGATCGAGAAATGGATATGCATGAAGGGGTGGCAATACGAATCCGGTGGCTGTCTCCGGCGTCACCCTGGTTGATTTGACGCAGTAAGCGGAATGCAGAGTGGAGCACACGAGCGAGGCTTTTCCTTGTTCCTTACTACTCGTACTAGAAATAGCATAACAATATGATATGATGTTGCACACGCAAACGCAAGCAAATCCGAGCTAGGCATGAGCATGAAACGCGGCCGGGGAGAGGAGGAGCCAGACAAACAGCGAACACACGGCGGCAGAGTACAGAGCCACGGCGATGGGCAAATGGCAAAAGGCGACGCATGTGACTGCTGACCACGACGCGACGCGCAAAGCTAACAAGTCAGCAACCCCCGCCAAGCAGATGGGGCTATATATAAAGCAGAGGAGAGGAGACGGCGCTCCCCAACACCAACACGCCGCCCACGGCGCGAAATAAGAGCCGCGCAGAACCCGGGAATCCTGCCTGTCCTTCGCCCCCTTGCCATCCATCCGCCGCCCATGGCGTCCGCGCCCGCCCCCGGCGTCGTGGTGGTGTTCGACTTCGACCGGACCATCATCGACTGGGACAGCGACGACTGGGTCATCACCAAGCTCGGCGCCGCCGACGCCTTCCAGCGCCTGCGGCCAACAATGCGCTGGAACCCACTCATGGTAATGTCTATGTGCACGACACGTCTCCTCTCCTCACCTCGTCCGGTAACCTCCCTCCAGGCTCCAGGGTGAAAGACGACGTGCGCCAACCAAGTCGATTTCGGTTTCTCTTTTCCAGGACAGGATGATGGCGGAGCTGCACGCCAGGGGGAAGACGCCCGAGGACATCCGCGACTGCCTCCGGAGCGCGCCGCTCGACGCGCACGTCGTTTCCGCGGTCAAGACGGCGGCGGCGCTCGGGTACACGCGCCACCATGCCGATACGCTCCTCACTGTAGTATTTGCGTCTGGGACCGATCTTTGATGCTGCTGCTCTGCTCCTGTTGCAGGTGTGACCTGAAGGTGGTGAGCGACGCTAACACCTTCTTCATCGAGACCGTCCTGGCGCACCACGGCGTGCTCGGCTGCTTCTCCGAGATCGTCACCAACCCGGCGAGCGTCGACGCGGACGGCAGGCTCAGGATCTCGCCGTTCCACGACTCCGCGGACGCGCCGCACGGCTGCAGCCTCTGCCCTGACAACATGTGCAAGGTACTACCAATACCAACAGTAGGACGGCCGATCGGTTCAGAAATTCAATGTCAGCTTCACTCCTCCACGCTCACCGCACGTGGCCACTGCAGACAAAACAAACAGCGAGATCTATCTATAAAAAAAACAGCATAATTTTATATTTTAAGATGTCTGGATGTGCTCTGCAATCTGAAATCTGAATATTCATACTGTACTTTCAACACTGATAAAATCTCTGTGCATTGCTCATATCAAGATGCGAAAACTCGCTGATAATTCAGCATAAACTAAAAATGTGCTCACCATGTGCAGGGCAAGATAATCGAGAGGATCCAAGCAACAGCCAGTGACAAGAAGCAGCACTTCATCTACATCGGTGACGGCAAGGGAGATTACTGCCCATCCCTCAAGCTGGGGGAAGGGGACTATGTCATGCCAAAGGAGAACTACCCCCTTTGGAATCTCATCTGCAACAACAAGCAGCTTCTCAAGGCTGAGGTTCACCCGTGGAATAGCGGCGAGGAACTGGAAAAGATACTACTTACGTTGGTCAGCAAAACTATAACCCCACCTGCACAAGTTTCCCAGTTTGACTACAGCAAATGTGAGATGAGCAATCCAGCAATCCAGCATCCAGCCCTCCGTGTGCCACACTGATTACTGATCAACTCTTAGTTCGCAAGTACGGGCATGATTGCCTGGTCATTTTTATATGCCTCGATTGATAAGAGTCCCCATTCTGCACTCAACCTGATATGTCCTCAGTCTGCGTTCAAAACGCAGCAATTTAGATGGATTATCTATGCTATGCACTATGTCATTCAATAAACTGTAGCATGGCATGGAAGAACATGAATTGAGAATTAATTGATGCCAAAGTGGGAAACTATAGTCTCTAACTCTTCAGGCAAATCCAAATTTCCAATACCAGAATTCATTATGTTAATCTTCTTAAGTCGCATAATAGCCAAGACAGTAACAGCAAAAACTAGATATGCTACACAGAACGGGCAATACTTTCAGTGTAATAATTCAGGAGCCTACCTATGCTCTTTTCTCACAAAGTACACAAAACTACCCACATATATGGAACTTCCTTCTGGTGTGATCAATCTTGTCCATACCCACATATATGGAACTTCCTTCTGGTCATTCTTGTCCATAAGGGCACTGTAGAGCCGACAGGTAGCATCAGAGATTGAAGGAACAAAAGGCAATATGAACAGGCAGCAAACATGTCAAGCAAATTTCAGTATTTTGAGCATCGGTCTTGCAACAAGAACACGCATATCTGACCATGCATAACTCCTTCTAAAATCCGCAAATAAGTATTGACAGCAATATGACCTGACCATAGATTCAGCTTCAAGAAGTTTTCCAGCCTTCATCAGAATGTCAACCATGCAACCATAGTGTTCCATGCTAAGGGTAATTCCACAAGACACTACTAGTAACTGTATAAAGTAGTTCCTTCATTCATCAAGTAGCCCACACGACTACAAGCTGACAGAAAACCTGCAGAAGAGATAGACATTGGGTTTCTTCCCAATGTCTATCATTTGTTGGAAAGCAATCAGTTCCTTGTATGGATGACCAGATTAGAACAACCACAGGTGGTCACATTCCATGCAACTTCATCACATTTTGACTGGTTGAACAGCATCTCAGAATAGGCTGTGCTCTCACTTTATATGCATGCCAACTGGAGCAAGCAATGGAAACATTAAATCGTTCCAAACTGATTTGATCACACACCCATGTAGCTGGAACCTGCAACCTAAGGATGTCAAATCAGAGCAAACACTCGAGGAGATTACCAGTGCAATATCATTAGACCATTTTCTTTGCTTGCAACATTCAACTGAAGCATTCTATTACCTATTTACCTTATATATTCATCAATTTTAGCACACCCTGCCATAATCACTGTCCATGTGAAGCACCGAGATTGAGCTTAAACGTCAACAAGCATTCTTGAAATACCAGTATCCCCTTGCAACCCACTTATCAAAACACATGCATGAACCTTGTCTCCATATCTCAAGTAGCGCCACATCTCAAAATGCCTACATATTTATACTGTTAGCTGAAAAAGATTCAGAAATAGTTGGTTTGAGAACTCTTCAAGCCTTCCTCACAGTATCTTCCAACATAAACTCTAGAGATAAGTGTGTTCCAAGAAAATGTCAGTCTGCAGAAGATCAAGAGTGTTGCACCTTGAAGGCTTGAAAGCTTGAACGGTACCAATTATCGCATCAAAGAACTATCCACAACAGCTTCAGGCTCCACCACCCCTCCAGCATTTGATGATCACCAAAGCATGAGCATGTTGAATTGAATTACTTGCAGCATTTCAGTGTTCAGAATAGTAGGTAAGTTAGTACTCGTACTTGCTTATATCTCATCACCGGATTCCACATGCAACGTGAAAACGAGCATGAAAATGATGGGTTAACCGTCCCTTTCCAGCATGACCATGACCATGCTGTGTTTCAATGAAGCAACTAATTCCCAGCAGCATCGCTTTCCACTTCCAGCCCCATTGAGCAGTCAGCAGGGCATCCCATGATGCATCAATGCACCAGAAGCAGCGGCAGGCCAGCCGCGTTCTTTCAGCAATGTCCACCTCCCAAGTCCCCACAGCATCTGTAATACTGGACCTCGACCCGAACCAAAGGCATGGTCGCCAAAAATCCTACTGCAGGCTTACCACATGAGATGGGTACACGACGATGCATTTGCCTCGTGAAACTCCGGCCCAGGCGCCCAGCACCACCGTCTCAAATCCATATACAGGTTCCTCTCCTTCCTGTGATAGCCTGATAGGAGGGGCTCAGAGCCGTGTGGCGACGCGCGGACATCACGGCGGTCTGGGCGACCACGTCCCCGTGCGGCATTCCATCAAACGCCCTCCGGTCGTCCGCCAGGCGGCCGTACTCTCAGCAAATGCCGAGCTGTGCATCGTGTCGTGAAGGAACATGTCCGGCCCCGGCTGCAGCCCGCATGGGTGGCGGAGCACGCGGCGGGTAGCGCAGACTTGCAGGGCCGGCGGCGGAGCCCCTCGGACTAGTCGTGGACATGGGCGTCGGCGCGGGGCGCGCATCGGCATGGGTTGGATGAGAGGATCACACCGTGAGGTGATGCGAGCATGAGTGGCGTCTGACGAGTGACGAGAAAGTAGCTGGCGATAAGGGAGGCCGGCGACCCTGTGCTTTGGAAAGCGCGTATCGATGAAAACGCATCGGAAGTTCTGGGAGCTTCCAGTTGCTTACGTCTGACAGCTTCACCACATTCGCTCATCATTCACCAAAAGGAAAAAGGAAAAAGGAAAAAGGAAACGGACTTCAAAAAGGAAGTTCCTCGTCAGCACAAAAAAGCCACGATACACAGGGAAAGTTAAGGTTTCATTACTTCTAATAACTGGTTCCGTGGGATAACAACAAAGTACCCATCTATTACAGAAGTAACTTGGAGCAAGACTTTGAGGTCTCTATTATAGCATTATAATAAGCTCATAGCAGACGTCATATCAAGTCTGGTCAGCTAACGGTTACTACTATATCCGAAAGCCTAGCTGGAGACGGGCCCTCTTGCAGATCATTAAGATTGGCCCAGGCTCCAAAAAGGCGGTTGTCCAAGAAACTCTCCAAAGCAACTCTTCCAGGTAAGCATTAGCGGGTGATCTCGTTTCTATGAATCAGTCTGATTCTTCCATCTCATCATCAGACTGCGGGTTCTCTACCTCACTGCCACTGCTCATGCCATTAGCTGCTGACCGGTAGTCCTTCACTGAGCTGTCTTCTACCTTGTACTTCACAAACTTCACAGCTGCTGCATCTTCATTTCCGCAGCTCTTCCTCTTCCTTATGCCGTTAGTTACCCCCTTCATTGACTGGGCAGCAGCCATAAAAGCATTGCCTGCAGTCTCCATCTCCTCCACAGCTTCATCCTCGCTGCCTTTAGTGTCCATAAACTCCCTACCACTCTGTTTATCAACGAAGAAAAGGTCCGCATCTGAATGAATGTTCCCATAGCCATTCTTGACCTCATCATAAGCAAACCTCCCCATAATCCAAGAACTATAATCTCCAAACACTTTGAGCCCCTTATCTTCAAGGTCGGCAAGCCACTCTGTGAAAAGCAAACATATACAGTTCTGCTTGAGTAAGCAGTCCACAAGACATGATAAACAAAAAACAATGACGTTGTTTCATATTTGCACATACTGAGAATAGCTTGGGGTGTATTGGAAATTGGTTTGCTGAGTGCACCAGAGCCAGCTTGACAAGTAGCCCACTTGATGAGAAAATTGGGAACATTTGAGGTTGAGAAAGCGTTGATAAACGACATTGCTCTCCCTTGATCACCTTTCCTCCTGTCAGAAGAAATTAAATGAGAAGATATTTCCACCCCCAGCTAAGTTTTGGTTACAATAACTCTTTATCACCTGGCATCATTGACAGCATCAAGAGTGATAACCAATCTCGACACATATATAGGCAAGAGATCAACTCCAGCACCATTGTTAATGAAAGAATAATCCACCAGGATAAGAGAATCATAAAGAACATCTCTCAACAAGATTTCGTCATCAGCACTCTGAGTCACCAAGAAACCAAACAACACAGATTACATGAGTCAAGAAACTTGATAGTGCCACTAACAAAACTCAGTCAATACAGGTCTTACTCCTAGTCTGCTATCTGACAGATGATACTTCTAGATTCTAAACAGTGAAAATTGAACAAGTAACCAACTACTCAGGAAAACCAAATAATAATAAAGTAGAAAAATTCAACCAGTCTGACAATTTTATACTAAAATTAACTCAGAGTGACCAAATACATGAGTACAGTACTACATGGCTTGCAAAAATGAACATATAACCAAGGACAATTGGACATACAACCCCTAGTCTGTCATTTCCACAAAAAAACACAATCATGATCTGAAACAAAAGGGTATACTAGGACAAACCACAGTTCAGGCTTCAACCTGTTTGCATATCACAAAGATGAGACACAACTCCATCTTAAGTCATGCTCCTTGCAGATGATGACAGCAAAATGCTATAGTAACACCAGCTTTGCGATACACAATAGTCATATACTGTTCTGTTCTCCTCTTTAGTTTCCACAAATTAAGAAAGACCCCTGATTTCAAGCACAGTTGAAGAACAAGGCAACAAGTTGCACATTTCTTATTTATTTCATAAAGGTAATCCATGCTAAATAACTAGTTTACAGAACAGGTAATGAAAAAGCATGATCATGACTCATGTTTCTTAATTCACGAAATGAGTTTAGAAGCTATTTGCCATGTTTGTTAATATTCTTATGGTCCATACAACTACCACATGCCTTGTGAATGCTTCATTAATACTCTTATAACTTTGTTAATAAGTAGTGAATTCATAATAATACTAGCTTGCTAAGTCATGTTCTCAAATTGCTCATTAGTCAGGAAACACATACCACTAGAGAGTAAACAGGCAGCGGAGAGTTCAAGAGCATGTTCAGCAGGACCCCTGTTAAATCCATGGGCAAAGATGCCAACATAATCTCGAGTCACTACAAGTGATGCTAAAAGGAAGAATAAGAACATGGCCATGATCCACTTACCGAAGAATTGGCGGTTCTGGAAGACCGGGATGGAGC